GAGTTGGAGAAATCTCAGAGATGATTTCATGTATCCATGTGCCACTTGCACAAATAGACCTTTTTAAATATTTAGGTATTTATTTTGAATCTTATACTCATCAGTATTCCTTCACATGGTGACTGCTGCGAGGATTGTACGTGCCAAATACTGGAAAGGAAAAGAGATAGTGACTGTTGAAGAATGGATTTTAAAATTGACTGAATTAGTAGAGATGACAAAATTAACTGCTTTGATCAGAAATAATACACTAGAAAATTTTATAAGAGACTGGAAGCCATTTCTGGACTGTCTGAATACTAAATACGATAGCAGATGGTTAACAGAGGGATTTGAAGATTAGTGTAATTTTTAGCTTTATTTATTGACTCTTCTTTTTCATCTATCTATCTATCTATCTATCTATCTATCTATCTATCTATCTATCTATCTATCTATCCATCCATACATACATACATAAAATGGGAAGATAGTTTATTTTCTTTTTTTAAGCATCCAGCCAGGGTGGATTCTAATTTAATGTTAAATTTATTTGATATTTGGGTCACTTTTTCTCCTGTTTTGTGGTTATGCTGGACCTATTTTCTGTTTGTTCATTTGTTTTTCTGTTTTGCATTTTATCTTTAAAAAATGAATTTTCTACTCATTGGGTCAATCAAGCATTAAGGTTCCTTATTATAGCCTCAAAAGCATCCTTCGACATTATTACACATGCAAATGAACATGGCAGCCATTAAACTATTCAAGGCTAACCTTTTGGATTTGATGCTATGTAGGTGTGCAGATACCTATCTACAGGGATGCTTCCAGCTTAGATGTAGTTCATGCTAAGCTCCTTATTCCACTCTGAATTCTTTTATTCTCTTAGAATTAGGCCAGCTCTCCTTTGCAGCCTGAGTTACTGTACACAATCTTAAATATTGGCTGAAGCAAATTCTTTGGGGAATGTCCTTGGTTCACCTTACTTTATTAGATGGGTTTGAATCTTCCTTAAGATGTCAAATCAATCTTGATTTGGCTTACCGAGGCTTTTCCTTTCCATCATAAGCTGCTCTCGCTCCTGATAAAACTATAGCAGAAATCAAGCTGCACTGTAAATCAGTAATTACTGTACTTCTCCTTAGTCCACTCCCAAATAACTTTTAAAATATTTTGCATATTTCACAGGAAAGATGTTTCACTTTGGCCCAAATTGGCCAATTACCTGTGAGGGCAATAACTAACAGATATATTGGCATTCCTAATGAGTAGCATACTTATATATACTGATATAGAGTTGGTGTCTGTTCTTTGTTTATTCATAGACTATATGCTCTATATCAGTGTTTCTCAACCTTCACAATTGTAAAATGGATGGACTTCAAGTCCTAGAATTCTCCAGCCAGGCTGGCTGGCTAGGGAATTCTGAGTGTTGAAGTCCACTATCTTAAAATTGCCAAGGTTGAGAACCACTGCTATATATTAAATGGAGGAAAGAATTTATAACAGCAATTTTAAGTTTATTTGTTCTGACCAGAAAGTCATTGCTTTCCATTTACGAGATCAAACCTTACTCATTACCTAATTTCTAACAATAACAATGGCTCAAAGAAATCACCTCCTTCACGTTTCTTCAAGTTTCCTGTACAATGTTTATTATTATATTATATCTTACATTTGATATGCTGTTTGCAAACCTCCTTTTGTATTGTTATGTTCTTTAAAACAAGCTGGACATTTATTATAAAACAATAACAATAAACAGCAGCCTTTGAACATTAGCCCTTAGATAAGATTCAAGAAGTCACTGAGGGCCTTTGTCAGGAAATGAGGATGTCAGATACAAGAAGCAGTTCAGTTCCAGACATAGTCAATATGGAAGCACACTAGTGCACATCCAGTCACTATGGAAGCACACTAGGTCTCCCTGCTTTTATGCCATTTTATCATATAATGATATGGTCTTCTTGCAGATAAGGCCAAGATAGGGGAAACTGGTATAGGAGAAGGGACCTACACCAAAATGTTAGTCCATCTTCTATTGTAATTAACTTTCAATAAATACAATAAAATGTTACCTATTCCTACCTGGACTAAAAAGTTATCTACTCCTTTCTTTAATAGAGATTTATTCAATTTTATTTGATAATATATAACCTGCCTTTCTATCTAAAAGCCATTATATAATAACATATGCAAAATATTGTATATTATTAAATATATTAGATACAGCAGCATTTCATAGTATCTTTTTGCAAAGCAGTAAGATTCTAAAACCATCCTTGGCTTTCTAGCATCTACTCTTATGTTGTACAATGATATAGCATATCTTTGAAATAAACTGTTCAATGAAATATAGGCTAAGTTCACATTGGATTTCACAATGAATAAGCAACAGACTGCATATGCAGTATGCTTAATGTTTCCAGTTCACCTGAGCACATAAAACAAAATATAAATGGAAACTTTTCATTATCAAACTCACAAAGTTAAAGGTTTCCTCTATCCATTTTGTGTCCGATTCTAGGAGAGGTGCTCATCTCCGTTTCTTAGCCAAGGGAGCCAGTGTTGTCTGTAGACATTTCCAGGGTCATGTGGCCAACTTGACTAGACGCCGAGATGCATGGAATGCTGTTATCTTCCCGCCTATTTAACTACTGGCGTTTGCATGCTTTGAAACTGCTAGGTGGGCAGTTGCTGGGGCAAGGACGGACGCACACCGTCACATGGCACTTGGGTCCTGAACCCAGGTTGTCAGCTTTCTAGTTGGTTGTGAAATCCTTGTTTATTTGAATGCAACAAACTGGAACAATTATCCAATTTTTTCCTATCTTAAGTTAGTTTTATCTATTCATATGGACATACCTTTTCACAGCAGATCAATGGTGCCGGTGTATCATTTTGAATAAACATACTATACTGGATATGTAGTAAAAAGATTATAGACAGTGCTGTTTAATCCAAAGGAAATATCGATATTCCAGAAATTCTCACAACTTCTTAATCCAGATTCAAGATTTTAATATCAGCTTTATTTTCTTTGCTAATGAGCTTTCCACCTCACTTAAATAGATACTATGATTCAAATTAAGTTATATTTTGCTTAGGATATATTAGCATGTACTAGGAGACAGAATTTTGCATAAGAAACAGCACATCTGTAATGCTGCTAATAATAGCCTGTACAGTGATTTCAAGACCAATTATCTCTATTAACTTGTTAATTCTGACATGTGAAGAGCTGATTAGCACTGATGGCTAAACAGCTGTTCAGTACTCTTGGTGCTAAATATGTATTCATCAGAAATATCAAATATAGAACAGCTTGAACATTCTCAGGATAATTCTTTCTGTAGCTACATATTTTAAGTTTCACATAGGTGTATTTAGCTTTTTGGTTTGTTTTTAGCACTTCACACAACAAAATTACTGCCTCTATGCCAGCTTTCTTACATTTTTCACCATTTACTCTTTTTCTTTCAATTTTTTGAAACAACACAGCCATATTGCCATTGAGCAGAGTTGTTTCAGTGCACTACAGTAAATTTTTCCAACCAGCATTAGGGGAATTGTAAAACAAACATATCTAAAAAAAACGGCTGAGAAACCAGTGCCACATTGTTAGTTATTATGTTTTTTTTCCATTTTTACTCATGGATTGTTTGCAAAAGCCATATGGCTTTGAACTTTATTAACTCATGCCAGGAAAATATTAGATCAGAACCAGCCAATAGACTTACACTTATGGGAAAAATCGTACAGGAAGAACTAATCAAACTCTATGGGTCATCTCTGCGTGTGTGATATATATGCATGAGAGATAGTGATGATAGCATTTTTTTATATGCTAGGTAGTTATCACAGATGCAGCTATTACCCTCCCTGCCATAGCTTAAAACCAATGTTCATAACTACTAGTTCATATATTCAGATTTCTAAAGGATTAGATTTCATTCTAATTAAAAAATAAGCCTTTTTATTCAGGCCAGTCAACATTACATTCCAAGGACCATCATCTTTTGTTTTATTGTATATATTTTCTATTTCATATTCAGAAGCCTGTTTAGAAAACCTATGGCTTTATACATAATTAAGTTTCAAAGGTCACAATGTTCCTTGTATTGATTTTAAGTAGATGCATATTAAGATCATGACATTTAAGAATATTACAAAATGCTTAAAATAGATATATACTGTAAAATCTACATGAACTATACCATTACATGCATGTTTCCTGCCTGGGAATAACAAAAATTTTGTTCAGCAAGAAGGAAAAGCTGTAGCTTCTTTCCTGTTCCTGTTTGCACACGCAAACAACACTTGAAATATGCTGCATCCTGTCTTATTGCCGAGTTACATTTTGAAACAAACTTCCTCATTGTTCAGTATTTTGGCTTTTAAACTATGTTCCCTTGAATAAATGTTTAACTGTAATGGGACCATCAGGAGGAGGAGAGGAAAAAAGTACAATAATTGACCACAGTGGAAAGCCATATAAACAAGTTTATTTTGTACAATCTATTGTAAATAAATCCACAGGAAGACTAAAAAAAGAGATCAAAAATATAAGCCACAACCTTATGATTCAGCCTTTTTTGCAGAAGATTGAAACTATATATATATATATATATATATTTGTTTTCTGAGGTTTTCGCGGGTGTTTGTATGTAGGTCTTTGGTTGTTCGGATTTTCTCCCACGTAAAATTGGAAGTGTCTTGGCGACGTTTCAACGAAGTCCCATTCGTCATCTTCAGGCTGGTGTTTTCAGCTTCGTGCTTCGAGCAGCAATATATATATATACACACACACACACACACACAACATACATGTGTATGTGTATATGTATGTGTGTGTGTGTGTGTGTGTGTGTGTGTGTGTGTGTGTGTGTGTATATATATATATATATATATATATATATATATATATATATATATATATCCATCCTTATTTTTCTCTAGGACACAGGTGTCAAACTCACCACATGACGTGTCAGGATGTATCACGACTCTTTTTGCATTGCCAACAATGGGGTGGGCTTCAGTATGATGAAACCAGCCAGCAGTTTGACATCCCTGCCTAGGAGAAAGAAAGATGCACATTTCTTAAGTCTTGGACTATGGTGGGTGGGCAAACTCCATTCAGGATTTTATATTACTTGAATGTTTTCTTTCAGACATACATTGTGTTTTCTTCATTATTTTGCTCTCTATTTTTTAAAAAAATTATGTGCTAACGAGTCCTCTGGAGTTGAGCAGCATTCTAAATTTAAATCAATAAAATTTTATCCATAAAAATTATGCAATAGAGACATAGTTAAGAAGTTTGGGCTATTCACTGTGCTAAAGTAAACAGGACTTCTGCATGTGTTCTATGTACTTCTAATGCAGGTAGAAATGTACATCTTATTCTGAACTGTAATCATAATCTAGTGGTGTTATTTGGAATGAATACCAGTTCTTAAATATCCAAAAAATCCCACTATCCTTACATAAGAAAAGATTATCAGAAAATTTGGGAAATCTAAAGTTTGCAGAAAAATAGGGCAAGAAAAACCCTACTACAAACAGCCCAAGAAAGCGGTCACTAGCCCATTTACACAGAATTCTGGTAGTCAATCAGAAACTTTGGTGATGGAGAGAGAATACAATACAAAGAATGGGATGGAATGGAATAATCTACAAGGAAGCATCACAGAGAGCAACCCAGCATGCTGGCTAGAGTTGAAGTCCATACAGCTTAAGCTTGCTGGGGCTGAGAAACAGTGCAGTATGCTAAAAGCATGCAATTTGTTTTCAAAATGTGTTTCCTGGTATTCCTCAATTCCTTTTGTAGTTCCTAAATAAATAAATAAATATTATTTTTTAAAACTATTCATCACAAATTCTTTGGGTCACTTATAGAATGCATTTTATTTATTTTCTAGGAAAATAAACAAAAAATAAAAAAAAATTACAGCAGGTACAAACTAACATAGAGATTTTACTATCCATTAGTCATGGATCTAAAGCAGTGGTTCTCAACCTTTTTAATGCTGCGACCCCCCCCAACCGGTCGTAAGTCGAGGACTAAACTGGTCGTAAGTTGAGGACTACCCAACCGGTCCTAAGTCGAGGACTTTTCCTGCCTGGGAACGCCGTGCATGCATGGTGCCGCCCCCTGCGCCGGCCGAGGCATAGCTGGCAAGCGGCAGAGATGGAGCAAGCCGACCACTGGCTGGGCCACCAGCTGGCCCAACCCAAGGGAGGTAAGGCACCCGCCAGAAAAGGGGAAAAAATGGCGGACAGCCTTGCTTGGTGACCCCCGTGAAATGGTCGATCGACCCCAAATGGGGTCACAACCCATAGGTTGAGAACCGCTGATCTAAAGATTTAGGTTCATTCATAAAGTTAAGCTAATGCTATATCTCAGGATTGAATCTTTTTCATATTTAATATTTTAGATCAGACATGTCAAACTCGTGATGTCATCTGATGTCGCACAACGTATTGGGACAGTTTTGCCATTGCTGGCAATGGGGTGGGCATGGCTTCTGCATGACGCATCCAGCCCGTGGGCCGGAAGTTTGACACCCCTGCTTTAGATACATTGAGGAACTTTTGTATAAAGTATTTTGAGTAACTCCTGACTTGTCTTAATTACAGAAGAGATAAAGAGGAGAAAGTGACAGATGTTAAGTTAGTAAAAGTATGTTTACATTGGAGAAAGGGGTTTAAAAGTAAGCATTTTGACTGGAAAACCTAGATATTTTGTCTAATATACACAATTCATTAAGGCAACTAGAAATAATAACTTTCAAATCCAAATTAAGGAAAGAAACTACTGTTTTTCTTTCTGTATTAGCAGATTTCAATTGCTAATCCATTAACAATCCAATGAAAAACCAACACTGATGTACATTCAAGATGTAAAGGTTTTTAAATGCCTTGAATGCATATGCTGAATGAAAAGTATGCTATCAAAAATATAAAATACCACATTCCATTATTAGATTCCAAAATATATATTCTTTTAGCTCTGGTTCTTCCCATTTCTCTGGAGAGAACTTTCTCTTCCCATAAGCTGAACTTATGACCACACAATGTAGTTATCTCCTTTCAAATTCTTTAGGCATTTCACTATTTAAGACTGATCTCATTTAGAAAAGATTAATGAACCAAGAACTGACATTCTGCAGCTTGAGATCATCTCAAAGCTAACAATAAAAGATACAGCATAGAAAGCAAAGGAGGTGAGATTATATTGTATATTGTGAACAGTTGTCACAGTAACCTGATATGTTTTAGTGAGTAAAACTTGCTGGATGCACATTGTTAGAGACCTGGACAAGTTCAAAGCTGGTGCCTTGCTGTAAAATCTTGTTGCCAAGGCAATGCACAGAAAGCTAGACCTGAAATGAATACCACAGATGGCGCATGACAGTACAGTCACATACTGGTTGAAAGAAATGTGTGCTCAGAGAAGTAGTGAACTAAAGGTAGCACTGATAGACTTTGGAGTGAAAATAAGGTGAAGTATTATAAGACAAAACAGAGTCTGTAACCTAGTATCAAATGATTGGCTTCATATTTTGCTAATATTATAATTTTGTGTTTTTAATGTCAAATGATGCATTGGGGAGGGGGAGGAGAATTAGCAGAAACAAATCCATTCATTTAAAAGAATGTTTTATACAGAATTCTACATTTATCTGAAATGTAGTAATTTTTTTATATTTGAGGGATGATCTGAGTACTGGAAAGAAAACTCACTGATTTTGAGGAGGGGGGAGGATGGGAGAACAACTTCATCCTGATAATTGTTAAGTACAAAAACAATATTGTAGGTTTAAGATGCAGGAAAATTGGTGGAAAATGCCAGCTAAGTTTTACTTAGTAAGTGGCAAATCTGAACAATAAGGATGGAATTGTTCAATCTGGCTAATAAATTAGTCGATTTAAGGTACTAGATCAGGGGTAGGCAACCTTGGCTCTTTTATGACTCGTGGACTTCAACTCCCAGAATTCCGAGCCAGCCATGCTGAGGGGAAAGGAAGAGTTTCCAAGCTCAGCCATGCTGGCTCAGGAATTCTGGGAGTTGAAGTCCGTGAGTCATAAAAGAGCCAAGGTTGCCTACCACAGTACTAGATAGTTCATACAAGTAATCAAGTTTCTGTTCCAGAGTTATATTTCTAGTTCTTACAATTTGAAATTAAATTTTATAATTGCAATTGCTGCTACTAAAAGTTTCACCTATTCTTTATCTCACATTTATTGTAACATAACTATTTGTTTCAGAAAGTGGAGTCCCAACAAGCAATCCTAAAAGTGCATTTTCCCAACAGCTAAACGCCTCCCATCTTCTGTACTAGCTACAACAGTGAATACATTATCTAAAAGCTTCTGATATACCCATATCATTTTTTCCTCCTATACATACATGGCAAAATTAATTCCAAATTCATTATTCTGTTTAGTTAGATTGACTTTTTATGGGAAGCTTGAACAATTTATCCTCCCCTACCTTTTTTTTTTTTTTGTAAACATGGAAAATCCGAGAACTGGTTCTTCAACACTCTCTCTAAAACAATAGTTCTTAAACTGGAAATAATTTGGGTATATCCTTGGGGTAATGGAGCACATTGTAATTCCTTGTTTGTGAATTGAGATACAGTTTGGGACTACCACTGCTAAAATGCTAACGTAGAACAACAGAGTCTGCATTTTTGTAGGGTAATGACATTATTTGAGCCTCGTAAAGAGGGAATCAAATCTTAAAATCAAACATTTTAAGAACCATTGTTCTAGGAACTTACAAAATTAGAATTTGATTAGCCATCCTAGTATTTCACTACAGCTTATGCTTCGTTTTCATACTATAATTGCATTTTTCACTCATTAAATCTCCAGATGAAATATTGTATAAAACACACCCTACACTGTGGGTGTTGTCTTCCTTCACTACCAGAGATAACACCGGACTGTTTTCATTGCTGAACTCATATGAACTCCTTACTAAGCATCTGTGATAGGTTATAAACAAATTCAAAGAGATCTATTTTGTTCTTATTACATTTATGTAATTCAAATCCATGATTAGAATTGCCTTTTCTTTTCATATCCTCTCAGATTGATACAACTCCCCCCCTCCTCGGTAGCTGTTATTCAACATATATATATATATATATATATATATATATATATATATATATATATATATATTTAAAGAACAGGATGTTCTTTCCTATCCTAAGGGGGCTAGCAGGAAATGAGAACTAGTTTTTCTGGCAAAATATAAAATGTAATACTATTTGGAGAATAATTGTACTACATAAAGAATGGTATATGCTTTATTATTTTCAGCATCCCAGAGCTTTATTTTCAATCGTTTTTGCTGCCTGCATTTCTCCTGTGGAAAATGGATAGTACAATCTCAACAGGATTGTATTATTGTACTTGCAAATAAATTGCAAACTAAACCCTGATAAAGCTGAAAAAGACTCAACATTACACCAGTTGAGTCCTGCTTTTTCAATTGCATATTGACATCTTTACATTTCAAATATGTAGCAGATGCTTTTCCAGCTCACAAGAAAATGATTAGAATACAAAGAAGGGAAGATCTTTAATCATTGCAGTGTAGCTTAGTAATGGGCACATTTTGGTGGCTAAGACTACACTTAACCTTTATGGAGGATTTATGATGATGAAAAAATAGGAAAGCGGGTGGAATATTTCCATTTTTGTCAAAAGTTGGAGATGTAAATGTATTAAGCTATTTCTGTCAGAAAATTACTATGGGGACTTTCCAGATTACTTTGCACTCAATACACTCCCAGTCAATCTGTATGTGCAGACCAGTGCAAACATGCATGCCACTTAGTTCAAATAGCAAAAATATAACTTGATATTTATTTATTAAACATCAGCAAACATCAAAACGGTTAACTGGCAAAATGAAACAAAAGGCAGGCAAAAGTAGAGAGAGAGACATAAATGTCAGAGGAGAGATAAAAGGGTATAGGATTTAACAATAACAATCTACATTATCTATATATCATTATATAACAAAATCAGAGAACTTTCCAGAGCTACCAGAAA